AGTCTCTCATTGGAGTCTGTTTTTGAAGTTTTTCTGTTGTAAGATAGCCACCCGCAGGTCTGACATAGAATGACCAGACAATGTTTGGAATGGCTGAGCCATTACAAACATTGAATCTATCTCCCCTTGTAAGTATTCTCACACTTCTTATCAAACTGTCTGTACTGGGCTAGCTTGATTATCACTTCAAAAGTGTTCATGCTCTCTGTATGTGTGTATATATATCTCCTCAATATATGTTCCACTCTGTATGCATCCGAAGAAGTGGGCTGTAGTTCACGAAAGCTTATGCTCGAATAAATTTGTTAGTCTCTAAGGTGCCACAAGCACTCCTGTTCTTTTTCCAGAAAGAGTCTGTTGTTGCTCAGGAAAATGTTCCTTTAGAGCAAGCCCTAGGTGAAAAGGGGAAGGGCAGAATTTCTGTGAAAAATGGGTTGTTGCGTGGAAAGATTCCTGAAGAGAAAAATCTTCAGGGTAGTTTTTGCAATCAGTTTGCTGCAACGGATGGGTGTGGACGTGATTGAATTGAGTTGACTCAGGGTGAATCACTGTCTAGAGAAAGCAACAGTTTGTTTGGGAGACTTGTTCCAGTTCTGAAGTGCCAGAGTCTTTCTGAGGGGTATAGATCCACGGACCTCGCTTTGGAATGACCCAGTGTGGATAGCTTTGAAAAGATTTCAAAGGAAATAAAAGTGGTTAGGGAATTTAAACAGCCCTATGAGCTTAGCCATCTTGGTGGGGAGACAATGGTGTTGGGACAGGACTGTGTCCATGGTGATTCTTCGAGTGAACAGTCTGTGTCTGAGTCAGAGGGAAGATTGGACAGCTGAATCCGCAGAGCAGGATGCCGGTTGTGCGGTGAATCTCTGGAGAATACCGGGAGAGCAGGTAAACGCTCATCTCTAGATACTTTGGATCTGTTTTGTAGTCTCTTAGTGGACCTGACATCTGATTCCAGGTGGAAGGAGAGGTTGGTAAGGGGAGGACAAAGGTACCTTGAGTCTAACATGCTAGTGAAAATGGACGGTATCTCTTTAAGACAGAGTCCAGCCTTGGAATTGGTAACGCTTAAGGATCTGAAAACTAGTAAACAAGCTAGTGTCTGTGTTGATGCACATTACCTGCCTGACGGGGGGGAGACAGACTCGCCTGTAGCTGTTCGCAAAAAGGACACACCCAGCCAGCCAATGGATTCTGTTAAGCACAAGAGCTCGGATTCTGACCCTCCGGAACAGGAAGGAAGGGAAAAAGTTTCTTATGCTAATGGCAGCCACAGGTTAACCCTAAAATACCAAACCCCCAAGGAAGTGGTTAAACTAAAAGCCTGTGTTAAGGAAGACCCTGCACTTAGGACGGAAGAATCCCATGCACTGCTACAGACTAGGGACCGAGTGGCTAGGTAGGAGTTCTGCCGAAAAGGACGTAGGGGTTACGAGACGAGAAGCTGGATATGAGTCAGCAGTGTGCTCTTGTTGCCAAGAAGGCTAACGGCATTTTGGGCTGTATAAGTAGGGGCATTGCCAGCAGATCGAGGGACGTGATCGTTCCCCTCTTTTCGACATTGGTGAGGCCTCATCTGGAGTCCTGTGTCCAGTTTGGGGCCCCACACTACAAGAAGGATGTGGAAAAATTGGAAAGAGTCTAGCGGAGGGCAACAAAAATGATTAGGGGTCTGGAGCACATGACTTATGAGGAGAGGCTGAGGGAACTGGGATTGTTTAGTCTCCAGAAGAGAAGAATGAGGGGGGATTTGATAGCAGCTTTTAACTACCTGAAGGGGGGTTCCAAAGAGGATGAATCTAGACTGTTCTCAGTGGTGGCAGATGACAGAACAAGGAGCAATGGTCTCAAGTTGCAGTGGGGGAGGTTTAGGTTGGATATTAGGAAAAAAAATTTCACTAGGAGGATGGTGAAGCACTGGAATGGGTTCCCTAGGGAGGTGGTTGGAATCTCTTTCCTTAGGGGTATTTACGGTCAGGCTTGACAAAGTCCTGGCTGGGATGATTTAGTTGGGAATTGGTCCTGCTTTGAGCAGGGGGTTGGACTAGATGACCTCTTGAGGTCTCTTCCAACCCTGATCTTCTATGATTCTATGAATCTGGCACCCTGGGGTCTATCCCCAATCACCCCTGGGGAGCCCCCTATGCCTCTCCGCTTCACCATCGCCAGTCCATGCTGCTGCTGCTTCTCCTGCAGCTCTTTCTTGGGCTCTCGCTGTCTCTCACGTTCCTCTCGCTCTCTCGGACTCAGCTCCAATCTCATCCATCTCCGATCCCCTGATGGGGAACCCGATCGTGAAGACCCCCATGTGGTTGGGGACCAGACTCATGGGGATGCCTGGCTACTGCTCCAGCTGCTCCCAGATCCTCTTGTAGCCCCGTCTGGGTCAGGAATCTGCTCCTTAGAGCAGTCTTTGTCCTCCAGCTGCAGGATGAACTGGGCCTTGGTGAACTTCCCAATGCGTAACCCTCTCTTTTTGCACAGAATTAAAATGTCCCTCTTGAGGAGATGGTGATAGGCCATCACTCCTCTGTTCCCAAGTTGCTTTGGACTCAGAGGCCTGTGTGCTCTCAGCTCCCCGATGGTTTCCAGGAACACCGCCCAGTGTGCCAGCCTTTCTTGAGGTCACCACCTCTTTGCCAGAGTCGAGCTGCAGACTCCTCCGCCCCTGGGACTGCTCGCTGCAATCCCCAGGGAAACCCTGTTACTGCAAAAGTCCTTCTCGCTAGTCACACACTCCCAGGGGTTAAGCATAGCTCCTTTGCCCCCTGAAACCGCCCCTTTCTGAGCCTTCAGCATGCCTGGTCTTTGTCAATCCCCCTTCATTTTACTGCTCCCCAGTCACTTACTGCAAGAAGTGCCATTCACGGGGTGCAGTACATCCCACCACTGCCACCAGTTGTCACGGAGTCCCCGCGCGATGCTCTGGAACTGTACAAGGCCCTATTGTCCCTTCATCCATCTCAATAGACCCCCCCTTTAGACCTCTAGCCCTCAACTCCCTTGGGGTGAGATCCTGCAATGCTCTTCTTCCAGACCTGCAATTCCCTCAGCAGATCCTGCCGTCCTGTTTGTTCTGGTGGCCAGGATTGGCTTAAGCTTGTCAAGCAAAATACCATGATTTGGATAGAAGAAACTGTTTCTTTTTGGGTGCCTTTAAGCTCTTTTGATTTTTGTTAAATCCGGATAAATTTCAAATCAAATGTTTTTTTGAAATGCAAAGTTGATTTACTTTTTTTTACGAGAGCTGGGGGTGGTGATGGGTTAATTGGCTTTTTTGTGCATTTTTTTGTCATATTGTTTTGTCAGATCTGGCTTCATCTTGAAACAAAATGTGGTTTCAAAATAGGAAGTCAAAGTGTTTTGGTTATGAGTGGTTTTATCCCTGTTGTTTTTATTTTGGTGGGGCAGGGGTTAATTGGTTAACTTTGAAAAATAACCTTCACTTGGAAACCAAAGGTCAAAATATTTCATTTTGGGGTGTTTTTGACTCTTTTTTGTTCTTGTTTTTTTCTTTTGGTTCGATCTACCTGAATTTCTACCTGAAACGTCATTTCAAAATGAAAAAGCCACAAATTTTTGTTTTGAAAATATTGAAAGGAAACCTTCAGCGTTTTTCAGAATTCTCTGAATATGTGAAGAGCTTCAATTGCCCACAAGTTCATTTTTTTCTGGTAATAAATTGTTTGTGAGAAATAATTCACGCGGCCCTGCCTCGGTCGTATTGCAATAAAAGAGTCTCTGATTACCCCGTGTGTCTGTGGCATTGCGGTGTTGCAGTCATTACCGACAAGGTGGCTGTGCTCTGGGGCGAGATCAGCTCACAGA